TTAGCCCATTCAAACATGCCTAATTGTTCTCCCATCTGCTTTGTTCTTCCATTTCCCTCTCCTTCCTTGTATATTGCCCCCCTCCCCAGCACCCAAACTTTCCTGTGTCTAATCCCTACCCTGTGCTTCCCCTCCCTCCCCTCACCCACCACCAACTTCCCAGCAATCAACAAAGAATTCCCCCTACCCCCATTTAGTATGGTTTCTATTTCTTAGTCTTTTACAATAGTGGTCCTATGCAGTATTTCTCTTTTTGTGACTGACTAATTTCACTCAGCATAATGTCCTCAAGGTTCATCCATGTTATGCGGTGGCTTGCCGCTTCCTTGTTATTCTTCAAGGTAGCATAATATTCCATTGTGTGTATGTACCACAGTTTGTTTATCCATTCTGCAGTTGATGGGCACTTTGGTTGTCTCAAAATCACTTTTTAGTTTAGGTTTAGTAGTACCTTCTCATGCATAAATGGTTCCCAGCAAGAGATATTTGAAGGCCTCCTTTAGCTTATTTTCTTCCTTCTTACTTCTTTCTTGGAATCCCTAAGTGATGCATATAGTTAAGACACTCTTTTACTAACCCAAAGACAAGTGGTTTGAATTCATAGAGGTGCCTCAGAAGAAATACCTGGAGATATCCTTCAAAGAATTATCCATTGAAAGTCCTATGGAGCATAGTTGTTCTCTGACATGCATGGGGTTGTTATGAGTTGACTCCGTGGAGACTGGTAATTCTTCTCTGGGTCTGGGTTTTTCTTCACAGGATCTCTGGGCCTCTCACAGACCCATTCTTTTCACCAGAGAGCAAATAACTCTCTCAGGACTGCTCTCTTTTCTCTCTTCCACATAGACACTTGGCCTCTTTTAATCTCCCCTCTCTTTCCTGTCTTGTCTCTGAAAATGAGCATCTCTTAGCACAGGTCTCTACGTTCCTATACTGAGACATGCCAAGAAAGCCTGTCTCCTCCTCTTGCCTTAAGGTCCATTAACAAAAGTCCCTTTCTGTAACACCAAGTTTATCTGAGCTTGGCCCAAGGAAGAAAGACAGCATGCCAAGCCGCAGGAAAGTGAGCTTGTATACATGCTGGGCAAATACGAAAAACCTCATTTTGCCATATTTAGAGCAGAACATCACATTCCTTTTTCTGCTGTTCTCCCTTTGACCTTCCCTAATGTTCTCTGTCTACTTCCTCCTTTTGGAGCCATCCCTTCTTCTGCAGTGAGCAAGGTCATGGATGACTGCTGGGGACAGCATACGCAGACCCTGGGTTGATTAGTGGCAGCCCCATTGAACCACC